CCCAGCCTCACCTAGACTGCCCCAAGGTAAGTTGAGTTTGAGACCCCTGTCTTACATGTTGTTTTCTTTGTGTTAATGATATAAGAGCTATTTTTATCATAAGAATGTTTTCACATGATGTACATCACCATTTATAAAAGGTAAAACTTTTGCTTCTGTATATGTTTGTTGCTATTGTCAGCTGCTGCAGGTGGAATGATGAAAAGGGAACATACAATTGAGGATTCTGTGAAGCTTTTTCCTACTGTTGAAACTTCATGGCCAATACAGGTTTTTATTATTACTGGTAGGTATAACATGGGGGATAGACATGTAATACCTACTGTGTGTCATGCTAGTACTTCCCTTTGAGGATTCAATTGAACTAGCAAATGTAGCATATACCATGCCACTGACCATCCTACTAAGTATTAGGTGATTAGTCACAAAACAACACATGTTTAAACAGAAAAAAAAAGTCCTACAAATCTAGCTGGGACTTACAGGGTGGTTTTTTTGTACCCAAACATGCATAGGATTTACCATTACCCTTCTTGACTTCTACTTTTGGAGGCTTAGTCACATTATGAATTAACTAAAGGTTCTTGAATGTCTTTAGAGGGAGGTCAAAAGCAAGTACATTACAGTAATCCCACCTGAAAATTCTTCAGTGATGGGCATCTGAAGCTTGGTTATCTCTGAAGAACTTAAGAGAAGCCATGCTGGATCAGACCAACGGTCCATCTAGTCCAGCATTTCATAAGCACAGTGGCAAAACAGCTGCCCATAGGATCCCTCAACCAGGATGGTACAAAACCTCTGCCTGCCCAAGATCAGCAACAGGTATATGCAGGCATGCTACCTCTCAGAAAAGAGGTAATGCACAGCCAGCAAGATGAGTAGCCACCAATAACCTCCTCCCCATGTATCTGTCAATCCTCATTTAAAGCCATCTAGATTGGCAGTCATAACCACTTCTCATGGAAGCAAATTCCATAGTTTAACAATATGCTGGGTGAAGAAGTACTTCCTTTTATTTGTCCTACACTTCCCACCAATCAGGTTCATGGGATGAACCTGGGTTCCAGTGTTAAGCAAGGAGAAAAATATCTCCTTCTCTACTTTGTCAACACCATTTATTATTTCAAAAACCTCCAACAGGTCTCCCCTTCCTTGCCTTTTCTGTGCTGAACAGTCCCAGTTGTTGCAGCTGCTCCTCATAGGGGAGCTGTTCCAGTCAATGCACGTGCAGTCATTTTGAGATGTCTTTCCAAACCCTGAAGTCTCTTGAAATTCCAGTAAAAAATGGATCTATGAGCACCGCCCCCCACACACAATTTTTGATACAGTAAAAGTGCTACACTCAATATGCCAGCAAATTTGGAAAACTCAACAGTGGCCACAGGATTGGAAAAGGTCAGTTTACATTCCGATCCCAAAGAACGGTAATGCCAAAGAATGTTCAAACTACCACACCATTGCACTCATTTCACATGCTAGCAAAGTTATGCTTAAAATCCTACAAGCTAGGTTCCAGCAGTATGTGGACCGAGAACTACCAGAAGTACAGGCAGGATTTTGAAGAGGCAGAGGAACTAGAGATCAAATTGCCAACATATGCTGGATCATGGAGAAAGCTAGGGAGTTCCAGAAAAACATCTACTTCTGCTTCATTGACTATGCTAAAGCCTTTGATTGTGCGGATCACAACAAATTGTGGCAAGTTCTTAAAGAGATGGGAGTACCTGACCATCTTATTTGTCTCTTGAGAAACCTATATGTGGGTCAAGAAGCAACAGTGAGAACTGGGCACAGAACCACTGATTGGTTCAAAATTGAGAAAGGAGTTCAGCAAGGCTGTATACTGTCGCCCTGCCTATTTAACTTATATGCAGAGCACATCATGAGAAAGGCAGGCCTAAATGAATCACCAGTTGGGAGAAATATCAACAACCTCAGATATGCAGATGATACCACTCTAATGGCAGAAAGTGAAGAGGAACTAAAGAGCCTCTTGATGTAGGTGAAGGAGGAGAGTGCAAAAGTTGGCTTGAAACTCATTAAGAAAACTAAGATCATGGCATCTGGTCCTCTCACTTCCTGGCAAATAGATGGGGAAGAAATGGAAGTAGTGACAGATTTTATTTTCCTGGGCTCCAAGATCACTGCAGATGGGGACTGCAGCCAAGAAATTAAAGGACACTTGCTCCTGGGGAGGAAAGCTATGGCAAATCTAGACAGCATACTAAAAAGCAGAGACATCACCCTGCCAACAAAAGTGCGTATAGTCAAGGCTATGGTTTTCCCAGTTGCAATGTATGGCTGTGAAAGCTGGACCATAAGGAAAGCTGAGCGCCAAAGAACTGAGGCCTTTGAACTGTGATGCTGGAGGAGACTCCTGAGAGTCCCTTGGACTGCAAGGCGATCAAACCGGTCAGCAGTAGAGGAGATCAACCCTGACTGCTCTTTATAAGGTCAGATCCTGAAGATGAAACTCAAATACTTTGGCCACCTAATGAGAAGGAAGGACTCCCTGGAGAAGAGTTTAATGCTGGGAACAATAGATGGTAAAAGAAGAAGGGGCCGGCAGAGGATGAGGTGGCTAGATGGAGTCACTGAAGCAGTTGGTGTGGGCTTGAGTGGACTCCAGGGGATAGTGGAGGACAGGAAAGCCTGGAGGAATGTTATTATTTATTTAGAGTATTTGTATGCCATCCCATCTCAGCCTCAGGACGGCTTACACAAATAAGAAAAATAAAATAAAAGATAATACAAATAAAATCCAGATCCACCCTGGCTGCAGATTAAAACCTATATAGCTGATGTTAAAAATTATTAAAATATTGTTGAAATAAAAAGGTCTTAGCCTGGTGTCGAAAAACAAATAACAGCAGCGCTAGGCCGGCCTCTCTGGGGAGTGCATTCCATAGGCGGGGTGCCACCACAGGGAAAGCCCTGTCCATGGGGTTGCAATGGGTCAGACACGACTTCACAACTAACAACAAGAGGACAATGCCTTCCCCAACAGGTCGAACAACAATCTTGCTGTACCCATCAACCATCCACCAGAAGTTCCTCTGACTGAGGCTCTGCACAACCCTTCACCAAACGGGTGACCTCTGGCTTGCTAGCAGGGGGATGATGTGTTATAGCCCAACACATCTGGAGTGCTTCAGGTTGTGCAAGGGTGTTCTACACACATGATACTTTTGACTTGAGATCTGGTCGTATGCGCGGGGCTTGCAGCGCTCAAAGACGGAATGTTAAGAACTGACGGAGGCGTCCATTAATCTAATATGAGGTCGGGCCATTAGGTTCCACAGGGAGGATAAGCAATCCCCCACGCCAGTGTGCGCCTCGCGGACGCAGAGATAGGAAGCTGCCACCCGAGCACAGATACTGTTCATTTTCTCGGGAACAGCAGAACACAACGAACAGCGGGCACGAACAAGAGAGACAGAAAACTCCCGCCAGTCTCCGCAAGGTGGTCGCACAGGAAATTGCGTCACGCACGCCGGAACCCGGAAGAGCCCGCCGCGGCGGCTGGAAACGGCGGGGCCCGGGAGGCGTGTGCCGAGTGTGGCCTCTCCGTCGGGCAGAAGCCCTACAGAGAAAGAGGGCGCCCATGACGCGCTGAGGCCTGCGAGGGCGCCGCCGCTGTGGTTCCTGTGGGGAGAAGCGAAGCGCGTTTCCCCGTCAGCTCCCTCCAAGGTCCTCCCTCTTGGGCGACCGGGTGAGTGGTGGCTTCAGGCAGGGCGGAAGGCTGCTTCGAGATGCGCCGGGCCGGCAGCGCTCGCCAAGGTGACCACTGAGGGTCGCTTCAGGAGGGGTGAGCCGCGCGTGGCCTTCCTCCGCTACTCCCTTTTTGAGCTCCCGAAGCATGCGGGTTAGCGGCGGTGTGTGCGTGTTTCCTTCATAGAGGGACTGCCTTACGGTACTTACCCGCTTCACTGCTGGTGGCAACTCATTCCCTTGGAAGGTCGTCCTTTCCTTTCCAAGGGGGAAAATGGTGTCACTACTGGTAATGGAGAGGATCCAAATGGGAAAAGTTAGGATACAAACAGGGCGGTTTGGCCCTTTTGGGCCTCCCTTTTTATATAGTTTAATGCATCTGCATGGTATGACCTTTGGAAAAGTGGCTGTACCTATTAGGAGGCTCATATGCTTTGCTTTGCCATCCCAGCTGTTAGTGCTTTCACCTTTGCTGTCAATGCCTGTTAGGTATTTGATTTCTATTTTAAATCAAAGACCTTCATTAATCCTCAGTGCATCTTGTATTTTTTTCTCCATCTCCATTCTCATACCCCCAACACACAGATGGTTGGTGTGCTGATAGCAGTGTCTCTAATCTTAAGTTTTAGGATAAAAATGCAGTTAGATCAATCTATTTTTAAAGGAGAAAAATATCACAGTGCTTTCTGTATTTAACATTCTTGGTTTTGTAGCAATGTGTTCACAGGTCCTTGTAAAGATGAATAAGTATTTCCATGGAATGACATGTGTACTGGAGTCTGAGGAGGAAAATATTTTTCTCAGTGGCTCAGGCATTTATCAGATCTTGAGTCTCAGTGAAACACACATTCCACTGGATATGTGAGAGAAAGGCCTTTTGGGTTCTGATGTAGTGGGAGAACTGATAGAATCCTTGGTAGTATGCCATGGTGTATTTGCAAATATTTTGAGGTGTCTACTGTGACTTAACATTCCATAGTTCAGACAGTTCAGTTTGTGGATGTATTCAGAGCAACATCTGGTCAGATACTGTTGGATAATTTTCAGTTTTTAGCATCCAAAAGTGTGGGCCAGGTACTTGGTAAAGTTTGATTAACTATCTTTTTCCTTAGCCCTAACCCTAAAGCTTAATCAATCCAGAAGTGAGTGGATAATTAGCTGGGTTTAGGGGAGTATAAGTTCCTGTTTATGAAAGGGAAAGGTCCTAATTGTTTTAAAGGAGGTGGTGGTGAGATAAAAAATAGTTGGACTTAGAAAATCTGAACATTTTTAGACTAGTGGCTAACATCAGTGTCTTGGGAAGATGTTTAGTGTCTGATAGATTCAGACACTTGTGGGTGGAATTGATTTTTTAAAATCTATTTCAGTTGGGATTTAGGTCTTGATTTGGAATTCAGTTTATCTTAATTCCCCAGTGGGGTGACCTTTGCTAAGAGACATTATCCTGGACATCTCAGAAGCTTTCGGTGCTAATGACCATGGTATACTGGAGAAGTTATGTGAATTAGCTGTGAGTGGTTCTATTTCCTGAAGATGCTGTTAGGGGATTTCTGCTTGAGCCATGGCATTTTTGGTTTCAGGTCTCTTATGGTTCTGTCTCATCTTTTTGATATTTGCTAATGGCACATAATTCTGTCTCTTTTTAGCAGATCTAGTTGCTAAAATGTGATGAAAGTACAAAATTACCTGGATGGGCTAATGGACAGAATGAAGGCTAGTAGATTGAAGCTCTATCCAAATAAGGCAGAGATACCTTTGGTTGGTGATTTGTTTGTCTGAGTAATATTCAGCCTATCCTAGCAGGCTTTGTACATTTTGGGTGCTTATACTTCTGTCTCTGTTATTAAAGGTGTACATGTCTTCTGAGGTGCAAACCCTTTTCACCAGTTTAGGGTGCTAGAGATAGCCTGGCTTCACTGAGACAAGCCCTGATAACATCTTACATAGAATACTGCAGTTCATTGTATGAAGAAGCTGACCTTGAAGATGTTTGGGAACCTCCTGTTGGTAAATATTGTGGCTAGGGTACTAACTGGAACTGCGTGTTATAACAGTTTCATGGAGATGACTGTGTCATCTCCACAGTCTCTAAGTTCAGTTCAAGGCCCTATTTAGAGTGCCGGTGTTAACCTACACAGCACTTCTAAGCTTATGGTCACAGCATCTGAGGGAGTATCTCTTCCTGCCTGTTATGAGCCCTGAGATCATCATCAGCTTTGGGGCCTTCTCTGTCTTTTTATATTATGAATTGCTGATATTTGTGTGATACAAGATGTAATGCATATTTGCTAATTGTTTATGTACCTTCTTATTTGATTAGAAAGCAAAACCACCACCACCACCCCTAGCAGCTTCTGAGACTGATTAAGAGAAGTGGAGAGGTGTTTCCTCCCTTTCCTTCTTGTCCTGCCTGACCTTGGATCTGACCATATAGTTGGCTGCAAATTCAGACTCAAAGAGTGTTCATCAATGGCACATGCTCAGACTGGGGAGAAGTGACAAGTGGTGCACTGCAGGGTTTTACCCAGGGACCAGTATTTTTCAACATTTTTATTAATGATTTAGATGTGGAAGTACAAGGAATGATAATTAAATCTGCAGATGACACAAAACTGTGTGGAATACCAAATACCCTGGAAGTCAGAGATAAGATACAGGGTGATCCTTACTAGGTTGGAATGCTGGGCAGAGATTAGCAGAATGAAATTCAATAGGAATAAATGCCAAGTCCTCCACTTAGGAAAAAGAAACCAAATGGACCACTGCAAGATGGGGAACACTTGGTTCAACAATACTACAAATAGAAGGATCTTGGGGTTGTTGTAGATCACAAGCTAAATATGAGCCAACAATGTGATGCAGCTGCAAAAAGGGCAAAAGCTATTTTGGGCTGCATCAACAGTGGCATCATTTCCAAAACACAAGATGTACTTGTTCCACTATACTCAGCACAAGTCAGACCTCACCTGGAGTACTGTGTCCAATTCTGGGCACCATGCAGAAAAGCTAGAAATGGTACAGAGGGAGGGCAACAAGGATGATTCAGGGCCTGGAAGCAGCCTATGAGGAAAGATTGAGAGAACTGGGCATGTTCAGCCTCCGGAAGAGAGGACTGAGGGGAGACATGATAGCACTCTGCTAGTACTTTGAAGGCCGTTTTAGAGAGGAAGGATAAGATCTCTTCTTGTTCATTCCAGAGTAGTGGACACAGAATAATTGATTTGAGTTAAAAGAAACCAGATTTAGCCTAGACACCAGGAAGAATTTTCTGACAGGCAGGGCAGTACGACAATGGAACCTATTACCTAGGGAAGTTGTGGACTCTCCCTCGCTGGAGACATTCAAAGAATGTTTGGGCAGTCGTCTAAATGGAATGGTGTAGCTTAGTGTCCTGCAATACAGGGGCTTATGGCCTTCTGGCCCCTTTCAACTCTACTATGATTCTATGACCTCTGAGGATGGGAAAGTGACTTGCCTAGGGTGACATTGAATGGACAGCGGTAGCGCAATGGGTTAAGTAGCCCTTACTCTTCTCCTGATTGGAGTGTCAGAGGCTGTTTTTCAATAAATAACAAGCAAGCCAATGCAGAAAAGAAATGCTTACTTGCGTTTGGCTCTTGTATTCCTGTTGCCTATGGTTAAGTATTTAAAAATAAATATTAATAAATGCAGTGTAGGAATGCTGTGAGAAATTGAAACTCTGAGCATCTTGTGATTTTCTTTCTTCTAATTCCACTCTTTAGATCTCTTTGCCAAATCTTTATTGCTGAGACAACTTGACTGAACTTTTTGAGGGAGCATATATACCCATTGTCATGCTTTCTGCTATAATTCCTGCCCACTTTTTACTCCCTGTTCTGTGTATGTTAAATTGGAAACCTACTGGACAGCACTACTGTTAGTCATAGTGCTGCATTTTACTGGGTGGCATTACTGCTGTGGAGTAACTAAAGTCTGAATGTCTAATATTCTGCATTCTGAACATCAGTCTAAATTCAAAACATTAACACTTCCTAATTTTAAAATTATTACATTGGAAGATGTTAACTGTGTAAATAAAATCAAGCCATGGAGCTCACTGGGTGATTCTGGGCCAGTCACAGACTCTCAGATTAACCTATCTCACAGTGGTGCTGTGAGGATAAGATGAAGAGGATGGGGAGAATTGTGTAAGCTGCTTTGAGTTGCTTAGAAGGAGAAAAGGCAAGATATAACTATAATTAATATAAATAATAAATAAAATAAATTTAAGGACAAAGATATTTTAGTAATTGCAATTGAGTTAGAAATCCATACAAAGATGTAAACTTTTCATTTTTATTAATTTTCCTTTGTACATATTCTTTTCTTCAGAAGCTTGTGGGAAAGGTGGCTTGTTTCATTATGTGTGCGTCAGTCAAATATAACACTCGGGGTCCAGCCCTCATCCCAAGAATGAAGACCAAACACCGCATCTACTACATTGCTCTGTTTTCTATTGTGCTGCTGGGCCTCATTGCCACAGGCATGTTCCAGTTCTGGCCACACTCTATAGAGTCCTCAAATGAATGGACAGTTGAAAAGCGCAGCATTCATGATGTACCTGTAGTCAAGATTCCTGCGGACAGTGCAATCCCAGAACGTGGAGACCTCAGCTGCAGGATGCACACATGTTTTGATGTTTACCGCTGTGGCTTCAACCCCAAAAATAAGATCAAGGTCTATATTTATTCTCTAAAGAAGTATGTGGATGAATACGGCATGCCAGTCAGTCATACCATTTCCAAGGAATACAATGAACTGTTAACTGCAATCTCTGACAGTGACTTCTACACAGATGATGTCAACCGTGCCTGTCTCTTTGTGCCATCCATTGACGTGCTGAACCAGAACACCCTCCGCATTAAGGAAACAGCCCAAGCTTTGGCGCAACTATCACGGTACCTGCAGAAAACTTACTGTGTAATGCCAGAGTAAGAATAGGAAACGAAGACTACGGGGTTAAGAGTGAAAAGCCAAACAGTGATGGGGTGAATGATCATTGTTGCTTTTTATGTAGTAGAGCAGTGGTTCTCAGTTGTTTTCCTACTGTCTCCTCCCACAGTTTGGTGGTGATGAAGTTGAGTAATCTTCAAGTAGGTCAACTGCAAGCCATTTAAGAGTGATCAGGCTTTTAGCTAATACAGAAATGGTAATAATGACCGTTATAGCTCATTTGGGATAGTTAGGTTATATTCTTTGTTTTAGAGTTGTGATTTAGAGTGGTTTTGGAAGTATTCTAGTCTTCGTACTACTCTGCTTTTCTTTTTTTTTTTTTTTTTAATAGTTGGGTTCGAGGAACAAATCATCTCTTATTCAACATGTTGCCTGGAGGACCACCTGACTACAACACAGCACTAGATGTTCCAAGGGACAGGTAGGCACCGTGCAGGTACTTGGAGACCTTTTGTTAACAGGCCTCTAACTCAGAACCGTTGCGGAAGAGGGGAGGGAGAGAGAGAGATTGTTCATGTTCATTGGCGTTTCGGAAACATGAAAAAAGGCAAAATGGATTGCCTTAAACTCAGATCAGAAATTAAATAATTTCTTTATGCCACTTTCTAAAACTGAAATACTGTACATGGCTTATATCTAGATGACCCTGATTTATAAAAAGACCTTTTCCTGTTTAAGTTAAACATATAGGCAGGTGTTTAAATCCAGTGCCACTTACACAAGTTTTTGGTTATGTTTTCTTACCCTCAGTGCTGTAATTCTAGTGCTGTAATTCTTTGTGTAGAAAAAGCATGAATGGTAGAGTTCTTAGTTAAAATCAGTGGAAGTGTTATTTATTTACTGAATCCTATCACCATATCCATCTGTCTATTATATTTATATTGAATCTTTTTTTCTTTTATGGAACACTGCCATTCATTGCTCTCAAATTCTGGAAATTATACTCTAGAACTGAAACAGTCAGTGGTATATATGCTTCATTTCTGTTACTTGATGAATTGCAAATAATAGAAATGAATAGGTAATTTGTATAAGATATTGAGTAAGAGCTACGAAATCAGCTGATTTCTTTCACTCTAAATGTTTAATAGGACAATCCAGTGAGGCTTCCAGTGACCCTATGAACTTGGAGAATTATTAGCATCCTCTGGAGGATTTCAGTCCTTTCCCTCCCTCCCTCCCTCCTTATGAGGTGTGGTGGCACAGTGGCTTAATGATGCTGATGTGCCAACCAGAAATGGCTGACACTCTGACTGTTTGAGCCCAGCACCACATGATGGAGTAAACGGCCATCATTCGCCTCTAGCTCTTGCCCCTCCTCAGCAGTTTGAAAGCATGTAATACTGCAAACCGATAAATGGGTACCACTCCATTAGGAAAAACTAGCTGCATTTGTGAGGAGTGTGGGAGCTGGTGCTGGAACTACTCAGATGTGAGGTGAGGTGTGACTGGTGGAAGAAGCCTGGATGAGCTGACAACCTGAACACCTGGTCTGCATGTGTGTGGAGCTAGTCACCCCCTGCAGTGTGCACTGGAGAAGCATGCTAGCATGAACAGAATGAACCAGCAGTTGCAGGCAGCCAAACATCTACTCTGTATTAGCACTGTAGACTTCTGGCTAATTGTTCCATCACCATATGCTGAATAAAAGAAAAGTCCTTTCTCTGCAAAACACATATCCTGCCTCCCTGCATAACTCCTGCAAAGCTCCATCTCTAGGTTGGATTTCAGAGGCATAGCCAGCACTGTTCTTTCCACACTTGCTGAGGGGGTGGAGTGATTTTGGTTTAGGTTCATAGTACCAGCTCTGACCTCGGTGCAAGATTCTGAGATTGGATCTGGGGCCTCTAATAATTGTATGGGCACTGAGACTCTTCCTAGCCTGCACAGGATTGTGCCCAAGAAATAGAACATATATTCTCTTTAAATGTTAACCTGAAACAAAATGCATATTTTTTTGTCTTAAAAAGATTCAAATCCTGTGTATATTTAGATGTTACTGGCCTGTAGAGGGCAGCCAACCATTATTATACAATCTTAATGATTAAAAAGAAAACCTGCTTTGCTGGAATCATAGAATAGTAGAGTTGGAAGGGGCCATGAAGGCCATCGAGTCCAACCTCCTGCTCTTGCAGGACACCAAGTTACACTATCCGACTCAGATGTCTGTCCAGTTTCTTGCTGAGTGTCGCTAGTGTTGGAGAACCCACCAGCTTTCTAGACAGTTGGTTCCACAGTTGTATTGCTCTGACAGTGGGGAAGCTTTTCCTGATGTCCAGCCTGAATCTGGGTTGTTGCAACTTGAATTGATTATTCCACTAGTTCAAGCTAAACATCTTTCACATCCATCCCTCTTTCTTCAGCCATGGTAGATGAACTTTTGTGAGAAAAATTCATGGGCAGGACCTGATGGAGTCACTTATTCTTTGTTGTTAGTCTTTTACATCTGTTGTTCATATGCCACTTTGAAAATTATTGAAAAGTAAGCTATTAGATTAAAATATGGAAAAATACTGACTCATAAAATGAAGCTTTTAAGATTCTGAGCTCACTCCCAATCAGTTTCAGTGGATGACCTTGAAATAAAACAAGTGAGAAAATAATTTCTATCTGTTCACTTCCGTATCTAATGTGAACAGAACATTACAATTTGTTATAATTAAGTGCAACTTAAGGGTAATTAAAATGTAGCAATATCTAATATTTGTATTAAAATTGGAAATCAAGTATTGTTTAGGCAATGGGCCAGGCTTAACTGCTCTGATCTCTGTTCGTTCCCCTTGGATCTTGAGGCTCATTCTGAGAAAGATGGCTATTGCCTAAAGCCTTGTGGTGGTGCTTTTACTGGTGTAGTCATCTCTCACATAAATCCTCCAGAATAAGATCAGTAGTAGAGACCAAGGTGTAAGCGGCTTGCTTGCTTGGAGATCATTTTTTCTGAGCGAGCAAACCACTGCCTCCCCATGTGTGGGACGAGGTGGGCGGCGGCAGGTCCAAATGGACATCCAGCCCCTGGGTTGTATGGTTTGAGGACCCATGCTTTAGCCAGTCTCACAAGAATTTGACTGAATCTTGTGTGAATATGGTGTGAAGCACAGTAAAACCTTGGATTGCGAGTAACTTGGTCTGTGAGTGTTTTGCAAGACGAGCAAAAAGTTTTTCTAAATTTTAACTTGATAAATGAGCGATGTCTTGCAGAATGAGTATACTGCATGCTTTGCCTGCCAAGCATCACATCACAACTGAGCTCCGGTTCTTCTCTCTCTCGCTGCGGGTGTGAGTACAGCGTCATCTCCCCCCCCCGAGTGCGCCTGCAGTCGCGCCCGTCACCCCCCGAATGTGCCCACCTGCCCCACAAGCGCACCCGCTTCACATTTTTGTGATTTAAAAAAAAAGTTACAGAATGGATTAACCTTATTTACATTGAACCTTATTGGGAAATTCACTTTGATGTACAAGTGCTTTGGATTACAAGTATGTTTCCGGAACGAATTATGCTCGCAATCCAAGGTTTTACTGTACTTATTATGCTGTTTTGTCAGTGGGGAGCATGTACACTATCTCCTGCCTTTTTCCGTCTCATTGTTAAATGAAAACAACAAGCTAATTTTAATCGGCACAGTGAAATATTGCAGACAACTTTGTCACACCTGTGACTTTTTAAAACTACTTTGAACTTTTTTATTCTGGAATTGCCTCAGTCTGGAAATCCTGTAGCTAGGCTTTCAACATACCAGCTGCAGCATTTCCTTGTGACTAATATCCAGTATCTTTTTTCTGTTTAAAAGCATCATATTTTCATTGTGCATTCTTATCTTTTGTCATTTATGGTTGATAGTGTATAATTTATTGTATAATCAAATACGCATGTTGTTCATTCTTGTATGCACATGTTTAGTTGTTTTCATTTCAAATGATGGTGAAATGATATTGCACATATTTTAGGAATCCCTGATAAACTGGTTGAAGATGGAAAAGGAAACATCACATTCTTTGTGGTCTTGGTGAAGTCTTACATCCTTCATGTACTTATGCAGAGCAGTATTTGTAATCTTCCAAAGCTAGGCAGTGAAATGTTTGGCTGGAAGACTGTGTTAATAATTGGGAAATTTTAATTAATCCAGCTAAAATGTTGCCAGGTTCCTGGACTTCAGCAAAATATTCTTCAATTTTAACACTAGTCATACTGCTAAATAGACGTGACAAAATAAGTTCAATGGCAATAAAGGGACAAAAACAAAGCCTGTTTAAAATTTCAAGGATATTTTTAGGATAGCACTGGTAAAGCCATTTACGTGCATTTTATGAGGTGTCTAACTTCTGTAGACATGGTAGTAAGATTGACCAGAAGCACCTTTGTTGGCTGCAGGTACTACAACTGAGAAGGTATATAGTACAAAATTTGAGGAGTAACATATTAAAAACAGATCAGGAAATAAATTAATTTTGGCAGAAATCTCTACAGCTTCTAGCATTTATTTGTAATGTATTTTTGGATAATACCAGGCAGATGGGGAATTATTTTAAAATGAGTTGGCATCAATAATTAGGTTATGAGCTTTTGAGTGATAAATGCATTTCCACTCAAGAAGTGGCAAGGTCTTATGCTGTTAATATGAGATAAAACCACAGTAAGCCAATTGTTGGGTAGTATCTGACCCCCAAGGCAATATTTGTGTACAATATATCAATATATGGGCTCTGATGCATGTTGGAAACATGAAGCCACAAATGGAAATACATCCATGAGTGTTGGAATTTTCCAAGGACATGGTTATTCTGTGAGCTGGTAAAGAAGAAAATGCAGCTAATTTTTGGTGAAACTATCCCAGATGACCCGTTGATAAGGTTATTAGGGTATTTTAAAGAGGCAGTTAAAAGACCATAAGTTAGTGAGCATTAGTAACAATCAGAGGTATCTTCACATAATGGAGGCAGAAAATACGACAGGTGATCATAATGACTAAGATAATAATTGTAAGAATAAAAGAGGGGAAAAGAGTAAAATTAAATTTTAGGAGAAATGGGGTTATATAGATCTTTACATGATGGGCAATATTGTTCCTAGGGTTCAAATATGATGGAAGATGAAATTTGTTAATTGTTAAAGGACAATTGGGAGTTGTGTCGTTAATATTTTTATTACATGTGCTATATATTATACACCATATCTACAGTGTTTTAATATATTGTTTACTATGTAGTAAAGCTTATCTTGTCTGAAAATAAAGAAGAAAATGAAAAATATCTTACTGCAGCTCAAAAGTAGAAGTGGAAAGTTTGTATGAACACACATCTGGAACTCCTACCTAGGAATTTGAGATCAGAATTCATTATATGTATTGTCTTTGACTCAATTTATTCCTAATTCTGCAGAGCTGCTTCCCAGTTCCCTTTCTACCAGTCCTAGTATCCAAAAGTTTTGAGCGAGTGAGAGTGCTTTGGGAAAATAGGATTCTAGCTGAACTTTTCTCTCTTGTCTTCAGAGCTTTGTTGGCAGGAGGAGGCTTTTCTACATGGACCTACCGGCAAGGATATGATGTCAGTATTCCTGTTTACAGTCCACTTTCTGCAGAGGTTCAACTGCCAAGTAAAGGACTGGGGTGAGCTGAGGATGAGTGGAATGATGCAGTGTGGTTGTGTTTTTGTTCTCAGCATTGCAGGTTGTCATAGCTTCTTGGCAATTTGATCCGTAAGACTAGGCATTTACAATATGAGGTATCATTTTTCTAGTCTCAGTGCTCTTTTAATTTTCAAGATTATGAAGCTATACTGTGGGTATACATTATCACTTTAGAGACTGTCCTATAAGTACTGTAGAAAATCCACATTTTAATTAAGTCTATGAAGCAATTTTCAGTACTGTCTCTTACCATTTTTGAACAATAAAGGCTGCTTTGACAGGGTGCCTCACTTGGAGTTTTGTAAAAAACAAGCTTATGTGTGTGAAAAGTTGTTTCTGCTACAGAAGGGCCCCACTACCACCACTGCAATTAAAGGTCTCATATATGCTGTCTGAAATACTGTCTTTCCTCATTTTCTCCTGTGTTCCTGGATTCCACTGCTTACGCCAGCCTGTTTTTATGAATTTGAAACTTCCAAAATTCTCTCAAAACAGCAAGTGTATTTTACTTGCTGAATTTTTGTCCTATAGTAGAACTACACTAATGCATTAAAATCTTGAAACTAATAAAGCATGCTTTATTGGTTAGGTACCAGAGCCAGATCAAAACTAAACATTATTGTAATAAAATGTGCACAGATAAAAAGATAAAAGATAAACCTAAACACTGAACATGCTCAATGGACTCCAGAAGGCACAGACATAATATACAGTGGATGAGATACCGTAGGTGTGGAGTGCCATCTGCTGGCCAGTGATTACCTTAAAAAGCTCAACATAAATAAGCTCAACATACTAAAAAAATGGTTTGGCTTGCAATTATTCAAATGAGGTATTGGGATTTGTATTGGATATTGATCTTTTTTTTGTTTAACCAATAGCCTGGCTTGACATCTTCCCTCATGCTCATCTTCTTCAATCATGTGCTAGTTAGCCCAGACCAGTTCAGAAAAGAATTGAAGGTCTATTTTGTTGAATACGTTGATGCCAGAGAAGTGAGTTTTCTTCTTTACCCTTCACCATCACAGTCTTCAGATGGTCTTTCACCTGTGTTTGGTCACTTCCATCCTGAGTTTTTCCAGTGCCGCTAATCAAGGCACCAATGCAATTTCCTTGCCCTCAACTCCCTGTTAAATCAAAACACCATCTTGGCTCTATTAGGAGGAAGAGAGTGTTTGGAAATTATAATGAGAGCATTCCCATCATTTCAGTATTCCACAGTTTATCCAACAATTCTGACAAGGTGATCCTAAGCATGGTCAGGATGGCATTTGGATTGATCAGTCTCCTAGGGCAGATCAATTTACCTGGGAATGTATCCCTGTACAGGTCTGTACTATGGTCAGTCCAAAGCCAACCAGTTATCCGCACATGGCAGTGATGCCATGTGTAACTCCTCCATCTTCAGAACGTTAACTCTGCCAGAACAGAATACCAAATTCCGCAGGATGCATAGGGTGAAGTACAACTTGGGAGTAGAGATGTGTGAAGAATCAGTTTGGGGCTGGGAATCTGTCAGATTTCCTGGGCTTGGCTCCCTTTACTCTGGTCTACTTGCAGCATTCCTGACCCCAAATTCCTGGCAAGTGCTCCCAGCATTCCTGGGGCACTCACCAGAAATCAAGCCCTACACACCACACAAGCAGTACACTTCTTCTGTGCCTGGTGCTGCCACTCCTGGCTGCAATAGGCAGGGGAAAAAGTTGGTTTCCAGGAATGGTGCCTGGTACAGCATCTGTCTTTAATGTCTTGCAACTGCTCTTTTAGTGGCTCTACCTGATGGGAGAGGTTGCTGGTTGCATAACTGAGTTCATGAGCTTTCAGAGTTGCATGGATAACAGAAGGATGGATTCTGAAAGGGTTCATCTCAACCCTAGTTGGGAGAAATAACATAGTTGTCATGGTGGATGTGAAATTCTGAACTGCTCCTGAGTGACCTCGGTGTAAATGCTGAAATCCTCCAGAACAAGAATCCTAGAGTGATCCAGTGCGAACCCTGAGACTGCACTGGCTACTTTGGGAAGGGAGACTGTTCAGTGGGGTGGATAGTATGCCAACAGAATCCCTGTGCTGTCCTGGTTATGCAACTACAGCAACGTGCAGGCAAAGTCAGCAAAATGCCATTTAGCAGTTTGCTAGTTAGTAAGAGAACATAGAAAATCGCCTTTTTAAAAATCATACCATGGATCCATCTAGCCCAGTATTGTTGATGGCAACCGGCCAGAGGTTTTCCAGCCCTATCTGAAGATGCTCAGGATTGAACTTGGGACCTTCTGCATCAAAGCAGTTGCTCTGCCACTGAGCCTCAGCCCCTCCTATGGAGGTAGAATTTCCACAAACTGTTGCCACTCCACTTCCTCAGCTCTAGGATGATGTGTCACAGAATAAAATGACAGGACAGCTGGGTGGGACATACTCCCCACTCTTCTCTCATCTGGATCTCTGTGATACATCCCAACTTTACCTCATCATCTTGAATAAAATCCTTGGTGGATGGTGTTTTCACAGAGACTGAACTGATGTAAAAAGTAGGACTTTCAGACTAGGATAACTTCCTTTGCTGTCAACATGACTTCTTTCAGGAGATAAACAAGCTGAAAGGAGAAGAGTGGTAATGGCCAACCATTCCCCTGCAATGGCTAGGCTGGACTCTTCCACTGCATCTCCACTTGAATAGTTGTGCCTAACTTGTTTTCAGTTCCTCATTCTCATAAAGCACAGTATGGTGATGCTAAACCCTTGCCCTAAAAATACCAGGTCTAAGTGGTCCAGGCAGTAGCATTGTCTTCACAAATAACATGCACAAACATCCCCAGCAACACAAAGTGATGTGCCTTTGGCTTCTTAGGAATTATAAATGGGTGACCCTCTTTCAAGTTTTACATTAGGTGGTGACCTTGCCATCCGAGGCCAGTATTTCTGTTATAGCCCCCTCTGTTCCCACAATGATCCAGAGTTGCTTCAGCTGCTAGAAGATGCTGAATCACTGGCAGAAACTTTTCAGAGGCCTAGGTCTTCTGCAGTTGATCTACCTGAGAGGAAGTTTTTGTAAGCAGGTGAAATGGTAAAAGCTGATCTTTCCCTTTGCTACTGGAGTGCCAGCTCATATATCTTGCAGCTTATTCAGAACACAGAGGAAATGATGTTGAAAAGAACAGTAAGCAATGTTTGTGTTTACATGTGTTACAAAGCTGTAATTTTTAACAGCTAGTCATTCAGTGATGGTAAAGGTGTGGGAAATACTGGAGCTCTTACCCAGTCAGGCTAGACAATACCGTACTAGATGGACTAATGGCCTTGCTAGTTAGTATGTCAGCTTTACATGTTCAAAGGTAGGATTATGTACCCAGTAGCTGCCTGCCAGTTTTTGAGAATTGTAAAGCAGATGCTCAGCGGACAGACTATCTGTTGAGCAAATGGCTCCAGATGACTCAAGTAAAGCAAGACACATGCTCTAGGCCCAATATCAGAGTATTGGTGCTGTATTATAGTGGAAGGTGTCCTCTTTTCCTGATCACTGATTGTAGCACATGTTTGACCCCTGATAACACTCCTGTATAAATCAGCTTACAGAATAATGATTGCATTACTTCTAAAGTTATGAAAACCTAACTGAAACTTGAGGTTGATTCTCAACTGCAGTTATAGTGTTCTGTTACCAGTATTAGTTGTGGATTGGTTGCCGAGTGCATGTCTGAATTGGTATGTATTCCTCAGGGATTGTTTAGTCATGAGTATACATTTCTTATTAAATCCTGTTCATCTGCATTATAGACTACGTTGGTCATTTATATCTTCTAGTGTAAACAAATGATTAGAAAAAATGCCAGTTTTATTAAAAAAAATTAGGTCATGGTACAGAAGGAATGCCTGCATTATATTGAGAATAGATCCCAAGGAGAACTTGCTGTGCCTCTGCTGTATTGCTAATCAAAACTGAAGTGGTTGTGAAGAAGAAAACATTTTCTGTTGTATGTATTTCCCCAGAAATTTTACAAACGGCACAAAGGACAAGCTGGCATCTAGCCACAGGAATAATAGAGGTTTAACTTAAGAAGAAATCCTTTTCAGTATGAAGTCAGAACTCCTTGTGAAATGTACATAATTTGGTGCTTTCCTTTCTGCTTTTAAAGTATCTCAATAGTATGTTATTGGGAATGAAGTCCCATTTATTTCAATAAAACTTGCTTCCAGATAAGGATGTTTATTCAAATTCAATGAGACTGACATGAGTAAACATACAAAGGATCAGGTTGTTAGCCTCTAATCCTGCCATACTTATTCAGATTTCCGAGACATAGAACTTGATGGGACTCATTGTATATACTGTATTTTATAGTTTACCGATGTATCTCATATATATGCTAATACCTACTATTTGTTTCTCATGCAACTGCTTTAGGAACCTTCCTGGAATTTTGTTTTACTGTACCAGTACATGAACCATTTTGCCTCTCATCTTGTTGTTGGCTTTCCAAATAACAGAAAAAGTGCTTAGGGGTGCACTAACAAGCCCAACACTTAGAGCAACATAAAGGAAAGCCCTTCCTAGATTATCTAATAAGGACACTGCTAGACTTGTCAGGTTCCCATTGTTGTGCTTCTTAGTCCCCGCAGGTACTTTCTTCTATCATCTCAAATGGCTCTGCATCCTGAATACCGTTCTGAATTAGAGGCTCTTCAAGCTGGAAATCCAGAATCTGTGCTAGTTGTAGACAAGTGTACCAACCTCTCAGAGGAAGTCCCTTTCATTCGTAAGCGTTGCCACAAGAATCAGATATTTGATTACCCTCAGGTGCTTCAGGTAATTATGCCTGTCAAGTGTATCCTTTTATTTTTTGTTTTGTTCCAGGAGGGCATGAATTTTTAAAGTGGTTTATCATGCTGTTATAACTGATTGATTAGATACTTGATACAAGCTCTCACTGATTATACATGGAGGGTTAGATCCAGAATTACCTTACCATGAGTGAAAGCATTTCTTTTGGGATCAGAAGACTCTGAGATGCAGAGTTACACGTATTTATGGAAGAAGATTTCTGTAGATGGACATGCTGCATTTCTAGTTGTAAAAATGTGAATAATTCTTCTTACCTGACAAATAAGATTATTAAACCTGCTAAGGGAGCCTTATCAGCTAAGGATAAAAATCCAATAAACAAACAAATAAATAAATAAATGATAATGTAGAAGTTATGCCTGTACTTCTGAAATTGAAGAAGCAGAAACACCTTTAATTCTACAACTCTTGAGGCCCTTTTCCTTAGGCCAAGAAGATACAACCTGACTTGTGTGTCTTGGTATATGGCACTGATGTCCTAAGGTGTAGAAATACAGAAAAAAATATTACTGTCATACTGCTACTTCCCATCTTCAACTGTAGCAAACAATCAGTCCCTGACGTCTCTGAAGGAGGGTGAAGCCAGCAGCCTTTTGGAGAAAGGAATACCATTATGGAAATGTCTTATTTATATACCAAAGATGTTTAAAATCCTATGCTAAAAAGTGGGATCAACAGTTTCCCTAAATCCACAATTCTATCACAAATGCAACTGATTTCTGGTTCCTTTTTCATTCCTTAAAGGCTGACTGAATTGTCTTAGCAGTTAGAAGTTTTGTGCAGGAACAAAAAGCCTTATATCTGTTATAAAGAGTTAAAATAGTTTCCTTCATGGAACCTAACATCTCCCTTTGGAATGTCTGGCTGATAATGGTGATGATAAGAAGAGATGTATTTCTAGTAACTTTGGTCTAGACAGGAAGAATGTTTAGTTGGGTAGATGAGCACGAGCAGGCTTGTACGGGTATTTTTTCCCTCTGGAATCCCTGACCCTTAGTAGAATGACTAGGATTTTCCACCTGTGATTCTTTAATCTTATCAAGGGATGTTTCTGGCTTTTTTACTCCTGAAATCCAGTAAGATGTTAATGTATGCTAATCTGACATAATTTCTAGATGAGCATAGGAAGCTGCCTTATACTTGGTCCATCCAGAGCAATATTGTTGACACTATTGGCAGTGGCTCTCTAAGGTTCAGGCAGGAGTTTCCAGCTCTGTCTGAAGATGCCAGGGATAGGATGTAAGATACAGCCTTGCTAAAAGAGAGAGCTTTGGTGGGAGGTCCAAGTACTTGCTGATCCTTTCAGGGTCTCTGTCATGATTATACCCCATTACTTTCTCCATATTCTAGAATATTAGCTATTCACTCTTGTGGAAGAAATAAAATTTTGGGACGGAGCCCAGGTGTAGCCCATTTACTCCTGTAGCACTGGGGGAACTCCACCTATCCCATTTTGGTTTGATGTTTTGTTATAATTGGTTGGTGATTGTTAGCTTATTTGTAACCCACTTTTGAGATTGAAGGGCAGCATATAATTTTTTAAAACTACTGAGAGCAAAACTTTCTCCCCCATTTTAATAATTGTGCCCAAAAGTATTAGAGGAAAGGAATTTTTCTCCTGCCTCATTGCTGTTGTGTACAAACCCTTATAGTCTCTTACTGGAGCGGCTGGCTTCCATTCACTTCTGTAGGAGAAAAGAACACTATAGGGTGCACCACACTGGAAGCGGGTTGCGATCAACCCACAGAAGCCTGTCAGTTAAGGCAAATGCATTTCATTGTGTAATTTGTTCCACATGTCAGAATTAGATTTGCTTTGGCATTGTCAGCACAGGATGCTCTTGTGCTTTCTTCATGCTTTGACCCTTTAAACAAACAAAGTACTTAAGCCAAATTGAAAGCTGAAAATGGGAGTTTATTCCATACAAAAACTCCTGTATTTTCTATAAATGAGAACACCCACTTTCCCAAGGGGACATGCTCCTCAGGCCATTAGCAGCAAAGAGCTTTTTGGCTTTCTGCTCTCCTGCTGCTATCGCAAGAGGTATCTTGCAGTGCTCTCAGTGCATTTAAATGTTTCTGTTCTTTTTTAATCTGTGGGAACAACCTATTAAATTCTAGTTTCCTTTTGCTCTTAATGAATCTTGTTAGTAGTCCACTCAGTCAACTCAGAACCAGATCTAGTTGACCTCTATTCAGTCTGTTCTCTCAAATCTTCCCCAAACTTGGCATGTTAAAACTAACCACAGTATGCATACACAGTGCAAATACATATTTTGCAAAGCACATTAACTTTCCAAGCAAAGGAGGGAGGGTGTGATCTGGTCCAGGGACCCTAAATTTGCATTTGAATTTACCATTCTGAAGAAAGTGTATTCTGTTTTAGGTGGTGCACACATATCTCGCAGTAGGCATCTTCTTGAAAGAGACAGTACTCCTGTGAAAGAAGCAGGAATACCTCTTCTCAGATGTTGCTTTCCACTTGCAATTGTTGCCTTAAAAATCATTTAAAAAGTTAATATTGACCAGTCAATTGGGAACACTGTTTTAATTACTCAGAATGTTTTAACTGTGAGGAATTAATTGGCAAAATATGCCAGACACATGTGTGCATAGGCATTCATACGTAGCGGTCATTGTTTTTTACAAGTGTGGAGCAAGAAGCACTGGTGTTTTCCATCTCAGTGTACAGCTTCAATGCAAGATGAAATAGTTTCTTCAAGCAAAATGGCACCCCTTTAAAATCTCAGAAAATTATTTGGAAAGACCTCCATTTTAGAAATTATCTTAAAAACTAAAAAAAGAAGAAGAAGAAGAAGAAGAAGCCTGGTTTGCATTTCTCATGATTGGTACCCCTCAACCTAGCTACAAAGTAGAACATGATAAGGCAGAGAATAATCTATATATCCATTTTGAAAAGGATAGGTATTCATATGACAAATAATTTAACTGGTACAATAGTAAGATTCAAATGAAAAGCTACTTCTTCCCGAAATACCAAAATAAGGAAAGGAGTTCTATATATGATCATTTAATGTGCCTTTTGCCAACAGGAAGCCACATTTTGTGTGGTTCTGCGAGGAGCCCGCTTGGGACAAGCTGTACTGAGTGATGTACTTCAGGCTGGTTGCATCCCTGTTATCGTAGCCGATTCGTATATCTTGCCTTTCTCTGAAGTTCTGGACTGGAAAAGGTATATTAAAGTCTTGTATGATCAATAATTGCAGCTTATTTGCAAACTGCATGGGTGTGCAGTGTTACTATTGTGCAGCACCCCCCCCCCCCCATTAGGTTATTTATGTGGGTTGGCCTCTACTGGCATTCATGCAGCCTCTGAACAGAATGCTATAGTTATCTGTTGCATGTAGGAGGGAAGGGTATAGTGTTTTTCATGACCAGTCATTACCTTTACATCACTTCTTGGGCATATCAACTTTGCTCCATAAAAAAAAAAGATTTCCAATTTCCAGTCAGCTAACTAATAAACTGTGTTGTATCCAGAGAGTTTGCTTCTGTCAGTGGAAGTCCCACCTAAGTGGACTTTCACTTTCACTTGGGATGTTTGAGCCAGTGGGCAGGAGAGAGGAGCTATTTTTGCCAATTGCTGTGACTCTGCAACCCACAGCACCACTTCCAGTGATGTATGAGCTACTGGTAAAGCATGTAGAAAGCCCCAAGTGCAGTCCCTGGCATTTCCAAATAGACCTTGAAAACTGCTTTCCTGAAACCCTGGAGAGCCACTGCCAGTCTGTTAACAATACCAGTCTAGTTGGTCAAATCGTCTGACTCAATATAAGGCAGTTATAGAAGGAGCCCTTCTGTTATTGAGGGTGCCAAGTCTGCATCCAACACTGCTCTTGCCTTTCTCCAAAGTTATTAATTATGAAATTGGGAGGAGTTTGCCAGCAAGGTATATTGAAAATACTTTCTTCTGTTGCTTTTTCTAAAATTCTCCATGTTTTCCTTTTCACACTTCAGGGCTTCTGTGGTGATACCTGAAGAAAAGATGTCTGAAATGTACAGCATTCTGCAAAGCATACCCCAACGACAGATTGAGGAAATGCAGAGACAGGTAGAATAGAATGTATATGAGTCATGAATGAGTCCTTTCGGTCAAAGCCCAAGTTTACTTGGTGAATTGGGACAAATGATCTACATGTTCCTATATTTTAAAGTTTAATTTGTTCAGGGGATGTGCTGAATATTGTATATTGCTACATGGTGATGAGTAGGTACACTGAAGTTGATCAGTTTTGTTCTGTATCTTGTCAAGGGAATGTCCATTCCCATCTTCAGTTATGTAGCTTGGAGCTATGGCTGCTACATATTATCTAGATGGCCATAGGAAAAATTGGAGGTGCAGCTCTGAACTTGAAATATCGCTCCAAAATCAGCTACATGTTTTGAAGGCAGATGAATCCTTGCCTCTGTTTTCCCCTCCCTCTCTCCCTTCATTGAATACCTGTAGTTCCCAGAGTTTGGAGGCCTATGGACAACCACTTTAGATGGAATCTTTAGACTACAGTTCTGTCCCAGTGAAATAGGACTTGCTTCAACTCCTGTTGCTTGATATTTAGTTCCTTGAAATGATCAGCAGAATTGCTACAAAAAACACTTCAAATGAGAAGTGGTTAAAGGTTCATTGAATGACTGCATAGGATTTGGAACTTTGTTCATTGCATTTGTATATGGAATTCCTTTGGACTCAGTAGGGGCCAGTATTGTGCAGAACATACACAAAAAAGGTATTCATATCATACCTCCTGTGAGAAATGCTAGTGTTTTGATCTAGTTTTCACTAATATTTTGAACTAGTGAGCTAAAGAACTTAGGGTGGACATGTCCTTATTTTTTTCTGTCTTTTGTATTATCTTTGGCCTGGTCTAAATGTCTCCTTGAGAGGCTTACAGACCAATTAAAAAGAGTTATCTACATTGTTTGAATATGCAGTCCCCAGTTCGCGGTTTGCAATTCTTTACCACCAACCCCAATCAGCATGGATTATTCAAGGGTTAAATGCATAATCCTTGATTAGTAGGAGGATTCACATGGCATGCCACAATCCCTGATTGGGTTGTATATTCAAATTGTTGGTTGTGCTGCAACTCATCCTGGGTTAAATAACTCATGATGAACAGGTCGTGTTGTGCAGACTTGCTGTGTTGTGCAGACTAGACAGCATTGTGCAGAATCTTGAAGCAGTGAAGCATCCATTTGTCAGTGTGTCTTGTAGGGCATTCATGTAACAGTATTTTAATTGTGTTCAAGCTGGATTTCCTGTGTATTTGTCACATGTATAGTCTGCCCTTCCTCCAAGAAGCCTTATGCAGCATACATGATCCTCTACCATTTCATCTTCACAACAACCATTTGAGGCAGGTTATGCTGAAAGTCAGTGACTGACCCAAATAAGCTTCTTGGCTGTATGGGGACTAGAATCCAGATCTCTGGAGTATCAGTCTAACTTTCTAGCCACCATACCAGTATGATTCTCCAGAAGCTTTGTGTTACAGCTCCCACAATCCCATTCCACTGGCTGTAGTGGTTTGAGCTGAAGGGAGCTGTAGGCCAAATCATTTGGTATACAACCCATTGACTGTTCCTATTCTACCCCACATTTTGGAGAGACAAGAAGATCTTCTTTAGCAGATACATGGTTACATGAAATAAATGAGTTATAGATATAAGTTGTGACTTGGATTTAAATGTCCAAATGTGTCAGCCCTGTGAATCATGAGATTTTTTCCCCCTCTTCCACAATATGCTAGTTTGAAAACTGGCATGTTTCCCAACATTGGTAGTTAATTATCATTTTCTCTGTACAATCATGAAAGCTAAACATAATTTTAAAGCACGTTTTTTCCTTTCATGATGAATGATTTCATTCAACCCACTATGAGCTTCTGGTAAATAGTCTTCTGCAGACTATAATAAGGAGGACACAAGATCATATTGAAAAACTTAAAAGTGAGCATAAATATCAGGGCCTTCCATAATATGAAGACTGTGAGGCAGTAGTTTTCCTATCCAAGTCCTAGAAACAAATGTGTGCTTGGATCATGTGAGATAATTAGATTAGTTACTTAAGTTAGTGCATGTGATTCTCCTGATATTTTTCTTGTGCTGAGAGACTTTGCCGATATGATAAACAGCCAGAAGAGGTCTCTGCTCCCTTGATGCATTCAGATTTTCTTAACCCTTTTGCTTAGACCTTCTACTTGGAAGCAAAAATCAGTCAATTAACCAGTATGGTTAAGTTAGAAACTATTACCTTATGCTTAGCCACTGAGGGGAGCAAAGAGAACATGACTTTGCTGTAAGAGAGTCTGTAGATGTGTGACCTGATATCTATGCTAACTAGTGAGACTATGCAAGAGTGCCTGTTTCAGCAGACTTTAGTAACTTTAGTCCTTTGTTTGCACTACATGTCCCCATGGTCTGAATTATAATCTAAAACCTGCTACAATAATGCACACAACAGCAAATACATATCTGTAGATGTGTAATTGTGTTTATGGGTACCTCCCCCTTCCTTTTAGTCTATGGAGGATGCAACATCTGGCAAAGATGTAGGGATGAAATTAGAGCCACATCTGTCAGTGTTCTGGAATCACAGGATTGTAGAGTTGGAAGTGCTCCAGTGGTTTGGCTAATCAACCCCCACCCCCAAACTACAACTTAGGCTGTCCCAGACTGTAGTACCCTTACCAAATGTGTATTTGACTTTTTTTGGTGGGACTTTGAAGCAATGAGATTCCACACCTTTCATACATCATTTATTCTGTTACTGAGTTGCTCTTTAATCAGGAAGTTTTCCCTAAATCTACTTTGATTTAAAATGATTGTTTCTTCTCATTTATCCTCTGGGGATAAGACAAATGACTCCAAGATCTGTTTTCTGAGAGAGATAGAGAGAGAGGGAGAGAATTGAAAACTTTCACCTTCCATACTTCTACATTAGCCTTAGTTGTTATAGTTTTCTGTATTATAAGTACTCTAAGTAATATAATGCATGTTTAGATTATATTGTTCCTTATTTTGACTTTGTTTCTTTGCAAGGGAAACAAAATGTAAAATGTGGTCTTTGCTAAAATATTTGGTAACTTTAGTTAAAGTGTCAATGATTTTATATTTTTTCCACATCTTAAAAAATATGCTGTTGATAATATGATGATACAGTAGAAAGGCAATTTCTTTTATTAATTAATTAAAAGGCTGATGATCCACTTAGAGTGCAATCTTAGAATGAAAAAACCTCAATGATTAATATTTTTATATATTAACTAGAAGTCATTCTGGTGTTAAATGAGAGTTTTCAACATACTGTTATTTAGACTCCTAATAGCTTGAATATGTAGCCTCTTCCTCCATGCCTTTCACTTTAATTGGTGTCTAATTTGGTGAAAGCATCAAATTAAAAAAAAAAAAAAACAAGGGGGACAAAATTTGAAATGTCACAAAAGAAATTATTCTTCTATATTGTATGAGGATATATAGCATATGAGGTAGTCCACTGTAAGGAGAAATATTTTATATTTTTATAGCCTTTCAAGTGGCAATGTAGTTTAAATTCTTAGTTGGCAAACTCAAATTTGATGCAACTAATATCAGATTTTTAGGTACTTGCTGAAAAGACTGTGGGATTTTTTCCTTTAAGTCCTAGTGTTAATATTCCTGTATCTAAAAGCAAACATTATAATATAGCCTTCGTGGCAGAAATTTTCCTAAATTCTGCTGCTTTTTTCTACGTACTGTGCTCAGAATGTTCACATTTCATCTATTGTCAGCCTTATTTATTAGCAGATTTTTATGCTGAAACATTTGTGGAATCTCTCCTGCAACACATGGTTGTGTGATATTTGTAAGAAATGTGTATAAAGAATTGTCTCCAGCATAGCTGCTGAACAGCAAAGTAGTCCATGGATGCACATTCTTAGTCTGTGTGAAGAAACTCACCACCTGCTTAGCAGCTGTTCACTTTCTTTCTTTCTTTCTTTTTTTTTTTTTTTGCGCCATGGAGCTATTTCACAATGAAGTGATGGGTTAAAGATGGCCCTTGACACAAAGGTTAAAAACATACTTGTTTTCTCTCTAATATGAAGGGGCTGGGGCGAGGGTGAGAAGAGAGTGCTGGCATTTGCCAGTACATTGATTCTGCAGATTTTCATTCTCTGTGCTTCCCTTTCATTTTTGCTTTCCTAAAAGAGATGAACTTATGTGGTACTGTGCAAGCATGATTTAATAAAAGAAATCTCAAGCTTCAGGTACTGGCTGAATGAAAACTACTAAGAAAATTCCAAGTTTCTAACATATCAGCTGGTAGGAGCCAAGGTAATAAAAGTGTTGGTGTGTCTTCTGGGGAAGGGTGGGGAGATGAGGAAACATTATTTCTTTCATACTGTCTGTGGGTCTGTCCTTCACCATTATTTGTTCACTTTGCAATTTGATATCCTGCAGTATTTATTTCTATCCCCTTCTGTGTAGCTACTTTCAAGATTATTATACATGATATTCTGGAATCTGGATGAAGCTTTCAGACAAATACCATCTGTCACTGCATAGCTGTACCTTTCTTCATAATTATTTCTTTTTTATTTTGTTTACCCATTGCAGTTGCTTAACACGTAGCTGTGTATGCACTGTTTTTATGGGTGTTTCTTCTTGGCTATGTTTAGTAAACTAAGATATTAAACCAAGTATTGCCCAACCATATATATATCCTTACTTCCACTTTCCTCCTCCCTTTACCCAAGCAGTGAAACAAACTAGGAAGCCACAGTTAACCATTTATTTATTTATTGTATTTTATATCCTACATTTTTACCTCTTGCAAGAAACTGAGAGTGGCAAAGGTCTTCTTCCTTCCCATTTTGTCCTAACAGCAGCCTTATGAGGTAATCAAAGCTGCAAGTCGGTGATTGGTCCAAAGTCACCCAGTAAACTTCTTAGCCAAGTGGACACAAGAACTTGGATTTTCCAAGTCCCAGGCCAACGTTCTAACAACTATACCTCACTGGCTTTTCATAGTTTCCTGTTTCATGCACACTGGGAACAATGGTTAAAGGCTTCCAG